GCACGTGTATTATCTTCTGTTACGGTTGAAAAATCGATACGGTGGCATCCCTGTTGTGACGGTCCTTCCTGCCAACTCTCCGCCTCCAACGCACGAATGGCAGTCTTCAAGTTTCGCCTAGCATCATTCAAACAGGGACCTCGTGGATTGCGACCTGAGATGGCCGGCACAGGTGCGTGCTCTTCGAGAAACAGCGCGCTCGAGACGAGTCGAAAGTGTACGAAGTCTGGGTCCGCACAGCGAAGCCACGTCTGGCCTCCTTCCTGGGTATCGGATCACCAGAGCAGCAGGTCACGTTCACGTCGGCTGATGACGTACAAGCCGTGCAATATTACAGGCGCAGACGCATCCGGATATGTGTTGAACTTCACTGGTGAAAGGCACCACCGCCGCCCCCCCCCCCCCCCCCCCTTTCCCTCCTCTGTTCGTTGCTTTGACGCTTGTTTTTTGTATTGCATTCTTTTCTTTTGCCATAAGTCTGCTAGGGCCTTACGCGGGTTCGCAGTTTCCCGCTCATTTTATTTCTGAACAACCGACTCCCTGACTGGCTCGGTATAGCTGAACGCAGAAAATAAATAAATAAATAAATAAACAAATAAAATATAAAGAACCTGACCCATTCCATTCCCATTCGATTCCGGGCAAAAGGCACCTAATTCCATTCCCATTCCAATCCCTTCAACGTTGCCGCCATTCCATTCCCATTCCATTCCGGGGTCGCGAAAATGCGGAATGATTCCGGAATCATTCCAACTCCGGAGTGGCAACTCCGCAACACTGGTGGAAGGTACGTCCCGCGTCCCCTCTCCCATTTTGAGTGTACGCAGGCTCTCCTCCTCTCCTCGGAAATGGGGGAGGAGGAAAGCCTGCGTACACTCAAAATGGGAGAGGGGACGCGGAACGTACCTTCCACTGCATTGCCAAGAAAAGTTGTCGCGGAGTATAATAGAGCAACGCTCTGTAGCAAGGGTAGTTTTTCAAGGCAAAAGTACAAGACGGCGAGTTCGAAAATCTATGAGGCGCGACCCATATGGTCGTGTACAATCGGTTGACCAATCACAATTAGGCGAGCCGCGCTGAAACTTGATCTCACGTACGTACTACAACTATGTGCAATTACTGATAATGAGCCAGACCACTGACGAGGAGCTTTGTGCGCGGTATTCTGTAAACCGTCCAACGACTTAAAAAAAAGACGCACCTTCCCACCTCTTCCGTCGCCACTGGACGTTGAATGAAGCTCGTTTCTGGACTGCAAGAGCTGCAAGTTACAAGTACAGTCATCAGAGTAAAGTAAAATGCTGCTCCAGAGGCACATCCGGCTCCATCCACATTGCACTCGCAAAACACATTCACACGGCGTCGAATCTTGATCGGTATCCAAGCGTGCGAAGGCACAGAGACACAGCACTTCTGCCCGTGCCAAGGAACAATACCACCTAAAAGCTTTGATGACGCTGCAAGACCGGAGAAACTTGCTTTCGACTTCTGCCTTTTTCCTGCGGCACTGCACTTACGTAAAATTTTACAGGTATTTTCAACAGCAAGTCTCAAACCTTACACAGGGTCTTAAAAGACTTCCTCGGCGACTGACGACGAATATGCAGGAAACGTGACTTCAACACGCTACCGCCAGCTTCTGCAACGCTAGCAGAACCGCAAATAGTTTACGAGCAAGACGGCCGTCCGGTGGCTTCACTCGCGCCATGGTGCTCGGAGCAACGGCTCGGAGCGCGTCTTCGACTGATGTGAGAAGCCGAAGTGTAATGCTGCTGCATGTCGCGATCCTGGTGGTTGGTCATAAAAACGCTAAAAAGGCTCCAAGTAGCACCACCGAACGCGAGTGTCGCTGTTGTCAGGATTTCCCAGATTTTGGCTGCGGAAACTTCCGTGGGCTGCCACACTAGTAAGCGACCTCCAGGAGAACAGGCCTCTGCCACATAAACCACCGCTGTTGGAACGCCGCCAGGATCATGACTGGCGACCACCTGACACTTTTATGACGTCATTAGGCAGAAATCGAGGGACCACTCTATGGTGTACTAGAAGACTGGGCAGTGTAGCGAGCGCCGGCGGAGGGCGGGCTCTTTCAGCGATGACCGGATCGGTGGCCGCGAGAGGGCGCAACGTGTAGTAGGCGTGCTGTCGGAGTGCGGAGCGCAGGCGGCGGTAGCGCTTGGCTGGCTTGGCGTTCTGCACGGGTTCGATTGCTTCGTATTGTTTGGCTAACTCTTTACGGTATTCTTTAGTTCTGCTGTTTCACATATTATTTATCGCACTAATTCGTTGCCAAATGCTTTGCCCGAGACGTGCATCTTCGGGCAGGACACCACAGTACACATCGCGACACCGACATTTACTTCGAAAGAGTATTAGCGAGGACGAACTTTTATCACCTGCATTATAGACCCGAATGAGCTTTTTCCCCAGCAATTAGAACTTTGCTGAGATCCTTTGATTTCTCATAGAAAAACCATCGATCGCTTGTTCGCGCTAGCAATGTTGCGTTATGAATAGCTGCGGGAAATCCATCCCCCAGGGCAACGTTCGGGAAGTCTCTTGAAAGAGACGTCCCAAACGTGTGTAATCCTCTGGGTAACATAGGATAAGCATGCTGATGGCATGATACTTAAACAAATGTGTGCTTTTGTGACCCTATAATTTCGCTGTCACTGTAGTTATGATCAATAAAATCCGTGGTTGAAGCAAAATGGGTCTTACAAAACGGACTATATCGTCTACTTCTGTAGGCTGCGTGGAGATGCCACCGTCGACTCTCGCAACTACTTCCACGGGCTTTCGAAGGAATTTCCAGCACTAGCCTTTATCGTATTTGCTGTTACTACGTAGGGTCTTCAAACAGGACTGTGCGAATAGTTAGAAAAATGTATCCACTCACCAGCTCTGGTAGTAACCACAGTGGATAAATTCTTATTTATCCACTGAGCACCAGCTATATTGATGTGTGTGGGCACCAGGGCACACAGATAAAATTTTAATCATGCACTGGGCGCCAGCGCACAGATGAGATTACACCCATGGATTCCGGAGGCGATGGTACTTGCTTTTCCCAAGAGCTCGGGAGAGGGGGGCTCCCGAGCTCCCCCGTAGTCGGCGCCTATGGCGTTTTGTACCTCTACATTCTCCAACATGAGGTCATGATCTTGATGAGCTTCGACATCTTCAGGATAAAGGACTCAGTATCTTCCGCTGGGCCATAAGACCCTTCAATTTTCTTGCGGTAAAAAAAGAGGCCTCTTAGCACCTCCTCATTGAAGAGACGGAGTGCTGGGCCAACCCTCATCTTTTTAAAACCGTTAGGAGAGAGAGAGAGAGGAAAAAAAATAATTTGCTGATGTGAGGCTATAACCTTTAACGTCACATTTTCACAGTCACTTCTCCAAGCCTTTCTAATGCAGTCAGCGTGCACAGGACCCTTCGGTGTGTCCAAACCAGTGTCTATAAAACCGATTTAGCAAATGGCCACTTTAAAGTGCAAAAAGTCCGAAAAAAAAAAATGCAGAGGACGACTGTCATGACTGCCTGCATTACCTGAAGCAGAGCAGGGCCGTACCCAGAAAAAAATTTCGGGGGGGGGGGGTTTCGGGGACAACGGCGGCCATTTTGTCTTATTTTCGCCTATGAATCATGTGCATCGGTGGCATATAATGGAGGGGTCCATATCACAAGAGCGAATGACATTTTAGCGAACGGCGACATTTGAGCGAATGGTCGTTTTAGCGAATAACGGGGGCGCGCGTTAACCCATCCGTCGCGCTGCGCTTTACGCCGCTTCGCGGCGACAGTCTGCGGCAACTCATTACAAAAATATGAACTCACTTGGCCCACCCGAAAACGCCGCTTCGCGGCGTCCGACTATTCGCTAAAGTGTCATTCGATGAAACGTGGGCGTTCGCTAAAACGTCATTCGATCAAGTGAGTGCCTCCCATAATGGAGAGTTATAGCAAACCGAAGAACCGGTCCCGGTTTGGTACCCGGTAGCCGACCGGTGCCGCTGCGCGTGCGCAGAGGTGGAGATTAAAATCGGCTGGCTGCAAGTGCACCGACCAGGGCCGTACCCAGAAAAAAATTTCGGGGGGGGTCAGAACCCCCTATCCCCCCCCCCCCCCCCCCCCCCCCCTGCATGGTTACGGCCCTGAAGCAGAGTCTCCCTGTCACTCCTTTTAATGTTGCGGGACGACGACTGACGCCGATCGAAATCGAGAGGGGCACGAAAAAGGGAACGGGCTTCTTTGCAGGACCGGTAGCCACTGTTGCAACCCGACACGGGCCCCAGGAATTGAGGTTAGGGAGGGGGGGGGGGGGGGGGGGGTTCGGGGGGCATTCAGAATATAAGAGTCGTTGCGAATTAAAGGGGCGCTTTCGGAAAAACAAGGGGGGAGTGCACCCCCGTAGAGGGGTGTAGGGAAATCACTGCCCCGACACAAAACACGTCCCGTCTCTCTTATCCCGCCGTTTTTCCGTCATTGCACGCGTTGTCTACATCCCACTGAACGGCACCGATCACAATCCATTTCACTCAAGCATTAAAAAAAAAAAAAACTGCAGTAAAACAAGGCGACGACGCGAACCACGCGATCACAGGCAGTACGACCACGCGGCAATCCGAGCGGGAAGGAGCACGCCTGTTACCCGCAGCGCCCCCTGGCGTCCTTGCGCTCCGTCATCGCTGCGCCGACCTCCTCCCTCCGTTGCTTCTCGGCGCGGACGACACACTGCCCAGTTCTAGTACACCATAACCACTCTTTTGGACGCGGTCAACACCACTGTAGTCAACACACCTATCGGAGACGCGTTCGCGCTGCAGCCACTGCAGCCACTGCAGCTATGGTTAGTTCCACTGGTTAGTTCATTTTACTAGCTTTACTATGGTCGCATGGTCGCTGCGCGATCCAGCACATTGACTCTAGTCACTCTGGTCAACTCTGGTGTTATTATGCCTGCGTCAGAACCCTGCCGCCCTCCTGCGTGCGTCGTCGGCGTCGTGAGCGCGGCAAAACTAAAGCAAAACAGCAAAACTGGGCAAAACGGCGGCAAATGTGACCATGGCGTTCGTTCGTGCCGCCGCGCCGTCGCTTCAGCAGCTGTAGCGGCTGCAGCCCCTGTTCAAGTCGCTGCACCAAAATCTCAGCCAACGGACGGATAGTAGAGCAGGTTAGAGAAGAAGGCGATGAAGCCTACCAAGAAGGTAATGCCATAGAGTGTACTACTACGCCTGAGTTGCGTTCAGAATCGGAGGCATCCCTCGTCCCCACGGTTTAATCTCTTGCCTTCCTCTGTTCCAGCCCGCGAAAGGGCAGCAGTTGCTCACGTGCTTCTTCAACCGGGTAAGCTTCCAGCGGCACGAGTTTGGGGAGATCGTCCCAAATGTGAACCTCGAAACTGAAGCAGGAGGTTGCTTTTGAAGTCTGACATTCGATCGGGCCAGCAAGACAGAACTTAGCTCCTTGTCAGTCACTGATTCTTTATGGTGGTAACAGACCTTATCGTGTCACATGCCTGCCTATATGTGGTTTGCTAGGGGACTGCCCCGGCTTAACTACTCACCGCCATCGCGTGTGGCTGTTTGAAGGCAGCGGTTCCCACCAGCCCCAGAATGCTTTTGAGAAGTGGACCATCAATCCTTACCCACAGGACTCCCACTACTATGAGGAGCAGCTTACAACCCTCTTCTTTCCTTCGTTTGGTCTGCCAGCATATACACCAACTCATGTTTACAAACAAACCGGAGCGCCCCTAGTGGACGCCACCGACGCCGCGCTTGCGCGATGGGGATATGGGCAAGAAGCTCGCCGTCGCCCATAAACAAACCATTCGAAAGGGATGTTGTCGGCGTCAATGCGAGTCCCCGCACTCTTTTTCACGTTGGAATTGCTGATTCTACTTCTTCCTGGTACTTGAGCAGCCTCAGCGAAATTAACGAGGCTCGTTACACTGAAAAACTTGGCGTGAATAATGTAACATGCGGCGATTCATTCTGCGTAAACGCCGCAGAATGGACGCTACAGGCCGATTCACATGGTCAGGTTCTGCTCGCTATTTTCAGCCATGACGTCGCTCGGGCTGCAAAAGCCTGAACCGTAGCTGAGATGTCGACATCTGTACTGAAAATCGTAAGCGGAATCGGACCGAGTGAATCGGGTATAACAAGTCGGTGATGGATGCTGGTAACAATAATCAACATTTCCTTTTATCTACTGTTTAGACTGAGCCTACTTACCCGAAGCAACCTTCAAGCTCAAACGGACACTGACAGGGTATTTATGCTCGTTGAGGTTTTTAGTTGTACATGACATATGAGAGCCCAACTACCCAGAACACAATTTGCGGCTCGAAATTCGGTTTCTTTCTGCGCGAAAACTGCCGATCAAGAACTGGCCGGTTTGACTCTCGCTCACTCTCTTTTCCGTGGTAATGGGCCGTTTTCTTCTAAGGTTTTGATGCAACCACCAAATTTAATCAAAGTCGTTGGTCACTGAAGGCACACACTCATTATGAAAATTTTTTTGTGGCTTCTAAAAAGCTGCAAATACGTTGATTGAAAAAAAAAAAAGTTGCACTGAGAACCGGAAGCCTTCTGTGCGTGCGTCGTTTCGCATATCGTGGGACTCGCGGGGACAGCGATGGCAGCGGACGACGGGCGTGGGACCTATACTTCAGAACTGTCGTTCGTGGTACCGGCGACAGTTCTGGTCGCCGGTACCACGAACAGAACTGTCGCCGAACAGAACTGGTACCACGAACGAACTTTTAAAGGTACCACGTTCGTGGTACCTTTAAAAGAGAAATTTGGGACTGATCAAAAGAATTGGTATTCATCCCGTACGACACGCCCGACCACCAAGCCGATTTGCACGAAGACGTCGCCGAGCCGTCGCTCCTTTCTCGTGGCTGAAGACATCGCTCGCGCAAACGTCAAGCACCGCACGAAGTGTGTACTTTGAGTTGAATATGCATGCGTAAGATTTCTTTACTATAGTCAGTTGCAGGTTAAGAAGGTAGCGGCAAAGGCCCCTCAAAGGGAATCAGATATCCCTCCGCCACCTCCGCATCCAGTAGCGTCCCACCGTTTCCTTGACGTCGCGGCCAACGCGCGAGGAGGGTCTTGCCTTTCTGTACATATTTGCTTTATCTTTCGACTTTGACTTAGCATTGTGGAAGCCACGAGAGGGAGATTAGAGTTCTCCCCCACCGACGGAAACAAATACGACTTTCGGGGATTAGCTTCCCCCCCGATGGATACAAAGGCTGCTTTCAGGGGCTCGGTTCCCTCTCCGAGGAATACAAAGGTCGCTTTCTTAAAAAGGTGGGATCGGAGACAAGTGGGAATCCATTGAAGCGGAACAAGGAGCGTTTCCAGTGAACTCTTCTTTCGACTGCGGAGAGATTTGAAACGGGCGCATCACACTTTTGGGAGGAGCTTCTCCTACCTTCTTGACTTGTAACCGACTATAGGTGCAAATGTCGCCAATGCGTAGTGCTTCGACCTTGACCCGGGAGTGCTTTTGCTGGAGGAAAATCGGCAGCAAACTTTTCAACTTACAGTTTACCGGCTGTATTATTACTGGGGAGGGAGTTCCTCCAGTCGCTCAGTGGAAAGACGTCCGCTTCACACGCGGCAGGACCGGCTTCAATCCCCAGTGAAACCATACTTTTTTTTTTCTTTTTTAGACATTTTGCGATGTTTACATTTCTTTTTTTTTTTAACAATTGTCACTGAAGAAACAAACAAAAAAAAAAAAAACAAATGTTGTAGACGACACGTCGCTGAACTAAATGGTATGGTATTTCCTTTTTGACACCTGTGAACTCAATGTAATCACTTTCCACAAAATGCGAGGCGCATTTAAATCGGGTAGCGTCCGCTTTCCGAGGTGCCCGTAAATGTTCTACAGGAATTGCAGCCAGCCATTGGTTCTGATCCCGTTGATCTTTCGGAAACTCTGTCGCACAATGCCACTTTTTTTCGGATGCAGGACTTGTGAGCCAGCTCTTCACGCAACATCTTGGGTGTATACTTTTCGGAGCTGATCACGGAAATTCAGCTCGGGCACTCACAACTCATCTCCAACTCCTCAGTGTACAAAACAACTCATCTTGAAGTACAGAACAGCGAGCGGAACAAACATAACTGCAGAATAATCGCACGGCAAACAGTTCCCGCTACGCCACCACGCATGTCGTCTGCTACGCAGAGGGGAAAAAAAAAGTGCACGGTCGGGTGTAGCCACGTGGCTTCTGCCACTCACTCTCTCCTCTCCACTTCTCCAACCTCCGTGCGCGGGTTTCAATTTCAAGCAGTTGCGTCTTTTGGCTTTATTAAAAATATATGCTACTCTGTTGCAAAATATTAATTGAGTAGTCCTCCGACACCATAATAAAGCGCCTGGCAAAAAATGAAAAACATTTTTTGGGGGGTGTCAGTGTCCCTTTAAACGTCTTTTGAGGTCTGCACTTCTCATCGCAATTACCGGGTCAACGTTTGGTCTACGCGGGCCGCTGTCGTTTGAACGAGCAGATGACAAGGAAAAGTGTTTGAGATCAGACGACAGCTCGAACGAGGAGGCGGCCGTTTGAACGTGATGATGCACGGAACGCAGTCCGCAGGTGGTCTGTGCAACTGGGCAGTTTTTCCGCGTTTATGTCGGAACAAAACAAATAAATCTGATGACCACAAGTATCCGTGAATTCAATCCAAAGTGCTTCCTGCCCAAGCATTCGTGGTCCAATGGCGTCTGTTTTTCCTTTTTAACGGCCCCTATTCACGTCTCGGACGAACCGAGCAGGGAGAAAGCACGTGAAAACTGACCTTCAAACTTTTCCCGACTCTTGGTAAAGCCCCTGTCGCGGCGTTTTGATGAGAAGGCAGGTTTTTTTTCCGGTTTCTTCCGAAGTAACACAGGAATGCACGTGCCCCATGGCGGCTTCCGCCCACAGCCCCAGACCGGAAGTGCGCCCGACGCGCCACCACCGCGTCACCATCGCGCCGTGACGTAACAGAGATGAGTTTGTGTATAGCACTCTTTTAAACCCGCTTCCCCCTTTCCCCCCCCCCTCCTCCTCCTCCCGTGGCCCGACGAGACAGGGATCCGGTCAATTCGTCGAACAGGCCAACGTGTCGTAGGTCCATTTACAGAAAGAGCAACTCGTCGAATTGCGCATTCCCGGTGAAAATTAGTTTATTGTTATTCCTTTCTTTTTATCTTTTGGCTTTATATGAGTTTTCTTGCTATCCAGATTGTCTGCCCGTGAACGCTAGTGCAATGAGATAGCGGCAAACTCTGAAGATGCATTCTTGGAACAATAAGATCGGAGTGACTGCGACACATTGCCCCTATCCTCACATTTCAGCATTACTACTATAGTTTTGGAAGTTTTAGTTTTAAATGGGTTGTCATCACTCTGATTCTCGCAAACGTGACCATAGAGTTTGTGCTGTCACTTTGAAACACACACTCGCCATGCGCCGGCAGTGCTTTCAATCCGCAGCGTTTGCAAAGAACTAAAAGTGTGCAAAATGACGGAACACTGTACTCCGTTTCCCATTAAAGACCAACCCACAAAAACTTTTTCCAACGAGGAGGAAATCCTTCTCGCCACCCTTTCGATTTCCCCCTCTCCCACTGTGCTATCTCGACGACGGGGGACTTCTTTTGTTGCTGCATCTTAGGGTGGGACAAGCCGGGATAAGCTCATTATCCGGGGTTCACAAGGGCAGCGGTAGCGGCGGCGGCGGGGTGGGGGGAGGAGGGGCGTGGGGCAATTTTGTATCTTCGAGACTTCAAATAACGCGGGCGTATCTTTCTTTTTGTCGCATTTCCACTTCTCCGCTTCTGCAAATTATGATCGTGGTAGGCTGGTCCAGTGGCTTAGAGCTCACTTTTTAAAAGAAACCGAAAATAAAAAAAAAAAAAAACGAACCAGTACAAGCTGAACTATGCAAGATGCTTGAAGAGAGCCAGTTGTAATGAAAATGAACTGCTCTAATGTGGTAAGTTGGGTCAGTCTGTTCATAATTTTTAATCCCCTTTTGAAAGCCTCCAAAAAAAGCAAATAAACCAGGACAAGCTAAGTGACGCAAGGCGCCTCGTATTGTTCAGGTTTTCCCGGTTCTTTATGTACTTTCGGCGCTCCTCAAAACGCACAGTGTTCAGTTTCTAGACGCTGTTTTTATTTTCGCACAGAAAAAAGACAAAAATACATAATAATTTTTCACATCAGTGCAATGCAATAGAGACTTCTATTTCGAGCAAGCTGCTTTCCGCCATGCTTCCATGTCATCCTCCAGGCCTCGAATGTTTGTGCACAGTGATTAAACTATTTACAT